AGTTGGCAGGACTGATTCCATCAGAAATCTTGCATTATAACTTTGCTTTCCTTCTTCAAGACAACACGGCCTCGATTCTCACCAGGAGAAATGGCTTTCGGAGGCAGGAGCAATCTGTTTACTATCTGCCCATCTTCATCGTGGACAGTGGGTCACCTTCACTAAGCAGCACCAACACCCTCACCATTCGAGTCTGTGACTGTGACGCGGAGGGAGTAGCTCAGACCTGCAACGCGGAGGCCTACGTCCTGCCTGCCGGCCTCAGCACCGGAGCCCTGATCGCAATCCTGGCCTGTGTCCTGACGTTACTGGGTAGGTCCTGTTCTCAGAGCTTGTGTTGTAAGAACATTCACGATACCTGTGTGTCACAGCGTCTCTCTTCTCTGTGCCTGTCCGTACCTTTTCGAGAACATATGCAGATATTCTATTTGATGGTATTTTGCTCGCTGAGTACACCATGAGTACTAGCTATACTCTCCAGTGGTACATTTAAAATGTAACTTAGAAAAAAAAAATCAGTTTTATTTTTAAAACAACAGTGAAGATAAAGGGCTTAATGTTTAAAATTGAGTTGTTTTCAAGGGTTTTTTTGTTTTTTGTTTGTTTTTTTTTAATTTACCTTATCCAAGCTGTTTGCCATTGAATATTCCGCAGAGCAGACATCTTAGAGAGAATCTTTTCTATGTTGTTTTGATAATATACTTATTTTAGAAATCGTGCTTTATATCCTACCTCTTTTCAGAAGAGATTTAAGGTGGATTGTATCATTTTTTTTGCAAATGTTAAAAGATTGCAGTTTCAGTAGTGCAAAATTCCTAATTTCCGAAGAAAAACTAAGATATTTAATGGTACCCTTCCATGATTATTATGTGGTGAAATTAGATTTATAACTCATACGAGAATGGCCATTTTGTAAGAATGCTGCAGCATCCTTTTAAAAATTGGGAGACATCCAACCTGGGCATTGGGTCATGGGTTTATTCCGTAGCTGCATTCTTCTTGCCTGTGTAGCCTCCTGTAACAAGGACAGCAAGCATTTAATGCTGCATCTGGGACTGTACCGTGTGTGTTTGCTTGGGGTTTAATTATAATTTGTAAATTCATTTATAATATAGTTTCGTAAAAGCGGAGTTTAGCAATGGAAGTCACCATTGTGCAATGTTTAGAAACAAGATTTATGGAGTTAGGTAAACCCGGCTTTCATTAGTGCCTCCAGCCTGCCCTGGTTCTTCACCAGGGGACTGTTCATTCTTCTAAGGCTGGCTCCTTAATCTAAGAGGGGGAAATAATAGAACTAGACTTGGAAGGTTGTTGTGCAAATTAAATGAGATAATTCATGTGCCTACCATATTATGAACGTTTCATAAATTTTAAGTGCTATTGATGAAGCAAGTTCTCAACCTATTAAGCAAGCTAAGCCTTGCTAATACAGTGTAAAGGATCTCATAAAAAAGTGGAAGTTATTATCTTCAATAACTTCAGCTAATCAAATAAATCTAAAAGGGAATAACATATTATTCTTTTCATATAGCTTCACACAGGTGGCAGAAATTCATTAGAAATGGCAAATAATTCCCAGTTAATGCCTGATTAGAAAGGGAGAGACTAGAATAAATTTTGAAAAAGGTGGAACCATTGCAAATTACTTTCTATTGCTCTACCAGGTTCCAAAACATAATAATAAAGACATAAATTGCATATTTATTTTGTAGTAGCTGAATAACCTAGATGAAAAGATAAAGATTTTTTTTTTTTTAGTATTAAAAATGACAGTGTCTTTAGCTCAAAAATATAGAGTCAGGAAAAACAAAATGAAGGGATGGTAGATGATGTGCAGATGACTCTTTTTAAACTTAACTTGACCAGTTCATCACAGAAAATTTAGATTATACTGCATTTCAAAGGAATAAGATAAAATTGTATTTCCTAGAATTTAATTATACCCAACAGTTAATTAACTTTTGATTTTCTTTAGAGGCTGTCTATCTAATGAAGCCTGCTTCATTTTTACAGACTATT